TGATTATAACCCGCCTTGAAAAAGTGAAGCACTTATTGGCATAAATAACAACAGGTCATTTAGCAAACGAGCAGCACATGCGGATTAGCAAATTCACGGATTAGGAAAGGAAGAAACTTTAATTGGCCATAAACATTCGCTCTAACGAGCAGAGCGAGCTCTCAGCCATTTACATGGTAAAATCAACAATTAACAACAAACAGCGCACTGCAAACCCAGGATCAAACTCTTCATTGGAGCTAATTATACGTCGCTGTTAACAGGTGTCTGAAGACCTGTCGTCGGAATTCGACTAACATCCTGCTTTGACTGTTGTATGATATGGCTGTCTAATGATTAAATATTTAATTGTGAATAATTGTGCTCAGAATTTAAGAATTGTAACTCTTTACATATTTTTTATCACAATTTTTGAAACAACATCTATGAAAATATGTATCCATTCTAGCACACTTCATTCCTTTATGTTAAAATACTTCAAAAAACTGTTATCTTAATTCATATATTATACAAAAAAACCATGGTCAGCAGAAGCCATTTTCACAGGAACTCCATGTTTTTATCCGACAGATGTTCCTGTGATTAAAAAGAAAAAAAAATATTACGCACAGTTTCTACATAATTCAGCAGCGTAACTCTTAAGATATTTAAACGGAGGAACCTGAGGAGTACCTCAGGGCTTGGCTGGAGGCTGGAGATGGAGGAGAAACAGTTTCATTCCCCAGATACACAGAGACCGAAATGGGAAAAGATCGATAGAACTCACTTCTGGGCGGTTTAACTGAGAACTTGGACCATGACTGTAGAAGGTTCTGTAGAAAAGAATGTATTCGTCGGTCCAACTGTACTAAAACCGTATTTTCTCCCATTAACGTTGAGCACTAAAAATGTTCTTCTATAAATGAGTTTCCATTTTCCCTATAGTACCTGAGACCATCTGAACTCTACCAGTTAAACTATTGCACTAGTTCTGCTGCCAACATACAGCCACTCATACATTATGCAAGAGGGAGCAAGTGGCTCATCAGCAAGGATGCAAAGTGAAACATGGCAGGCAGAGGGGAACCGGGGAGAAGAGGAGGAGTCATGGGTGAGGGCAGCGGGTGCAGGAGGATGAGAGAGAGGGGCCATGGATGAGGAAGCACAGGGTCGTTCTCCGCTCCAGAGAGAGGGGGAGAAAATAAAGGCAAAAAAAAAAAAAAAAACAAGCAGCATGGTAGAAAACATTGAGTTCATGACCCAGGCTGTGGAGAGAAGGAGGAGGAGGAGGAGGAGGTGATCAAGTGGAAGAATAGGAGCATTGTTCTACAAAAATACTGTGGTTTACACAGTCCAGATGTACAGAGATAGACTTTAAAAACAATAGGATTTTTATGTTTTCAGATTTTATGTTGTCATTCACCATCGTGTGTCACTGATTTGTCAACATTGTGAGCAGAGATGTAACTGGAATATTATCATCTACCAAAACACACCTATTCCCTGTGTTCATCCATCAGTGAATCACAGATATTGATTAAAAATGGCTGAAATCTTTGATAAAATAAAAAATAAAAATATCCTTGAATATTTGTTTTGTTTGATAAATGTTCTGCAATTGTTAAAATCCCTGATGAAAACCATGGAAGAAATTCAATTTGTGTAGTAAAGGTCCACAGTCTTCTGATTTTAATGTTAAAAAAAAAACACTTTATTTTCTATTTTTCTTTATTTATTATTATGGCTGAGAATCAATTAACTAAACCATAATAACGTACCACAACATATGTTATAATAATAATAATAATAATAATAATAATAATAATAAGGGCAAAAAATAAAAAACATCTAAAAGGCATTTCTCTTATATAAAAAGATTTACATTTGAGTGTACAGGTAAAGAAATTGCAGCATTGACTGTGTGTCCACATGTCAAACATGAGGAGCCAATGTGTTTGAGCAGACAATTTACAACTGGCAGGATTTTTCATCTGTGACCGAGGAGACACAACAGCACCTCCTGCATTTGGTGGTGATTGTGGCTTTAAATATTCAACATAAATGTCAGCACCTTCCTCTCCATCCATCCCTCCCCCTCTCCCCCGCCTGTGACTCTCCACGTTCTATCTCCGTCCTCCGTCCTCCCCCGACACTTTCACGTTAATGAGTTTCGTTTTCACAGGAGACAACGGAGGAGAATCAAGGGTGGTCAGCACACGTACGCACACATAGACACACATAATTGCATGCACATGCTGCAGGTCGAGACCTGGCTGAGTAGCTCGCTCGCCTATCGTCGTGGTTGTGTTGTTTTGGACTGAACGAGTCCAATTAGGCTAAGGTTAAACAAAGTCAATCTTAAGCTTTTTTTCATATGATTAAAGTTAACAATACACTGTAATTTGGTAAAAATTCCTCCAAGGGAAACACTGGATTGTACAGAATCGAATAAAAGAGAGTTGAACTTAGGCCCGTTCAGATTTCCTTCAATCGAATGTATATACAAAATAAAGAAAAACAAAAAACAAAATCGTTATCCTCATAGCTAGTAATTTTTGTTCTACGTAACATTTCCCCACAACCTGCACTCACTCACAGGTTCTCTCATCAGTTCAACAACCTTCAAGAAAGTGCTTGGTAATGTGGAACTTAATGAGGTACTAAAAGAAAATGGGTTCCTGTGCACCCAACTTTCTAACAAATAAAACCCTTTGCAGTAGTTCTGCATAATCTGTGTCTGTCCACTGAGCTGTTAAACTCAGCACAGACATTAGAGTACCATCACTGGAGTTAGCCTACAGCTAACCTGGCACGACAAGACTGTTGTCTATAAAAGTAAACAATAGTTTACTATACAGTTATATACAATACATGTCGTAAAAATTTGAAGCTGTCTTGGCTGGACTTCCAAGCTGACACCATGTGGGCTTACGACTGTGAGCTGCCTCGTTTGTTCTCCACCATCCAATCACGGGTCAGTAACGATGGCCAGTCAGTCGGTGTATCTCCAGGGAAAAATCCCAAAGTTGTCACATATATTTGTTTCACTCATATGTGAAGATACGGAAATAAACCCAGATCCGAATGAAATGCTAAAACCAAAGCCAGCACCATGTGCTTTTCGTGATTGCATGAGTCTTGAAATACTTGTGATGTTCACCTTTCCCGAAATGTCACCCTGATAAATGGAAAACCTGGCAATCACTGCTGAGAGCAACCCCCGGTTGTGGGGGTGTGAAGATTGATGCCGCTCGGCACCTGGATGATTCCCCTGCCTCCATTTATGGTGATCTTTAAATGAAGCCACTAATTTATACAATGATTCAATTTGTCATCGTTTAAAGTGGTATCTCAGAGCCTCGCCACTGTTTACCCATTAGCATAAATCTGCACTGACTCGACACCTTGGCCTGCAGTGAACTAAAGCTAAAGTGCTCTAACTTATGCCTGTTATCCCTGAAGATATAGGCTCGGTATTTCAACATAATGGATTCGCACAAGGTTTACTGTCCAGTATTTCAATAAAAAGTTTTTTTTTTAAGAACGTCATTTAAGAAAATGGCTCAGCCACTGACCTAAAAAAACACCGTCAACAACCTACCATATATTTGACTGAGCTAAGTATAATTGTTTTCCAAAACATGTAGCAATATCCACATACTTCATTTAAGAAACTAAAGCAATCTGCATGAAAAAAGTATCCAGAAGAAAACACAAATGCTTTGTTGAAGGTTGGGTGCACATCCAGAAAACGCCAGTTGTTGTTGTAACCTCCTATTGGATGTTATTAGCCATCAATCACAGTCACCTCATTCACTGCTGCTAACAAAAATGAACAATCCTAACATTATGTTTCTTTACGAATCACCACAAATTGGTGACTGAGATCCAAACTGTCCAGCAGATTGATGTTGGATTAGAAGTAAAAGAAGTGCAGCAGATTGATGTTGGATTAGAAGTAAGAATCCCAGGTTGTCTATAGTATAAAAGCATGGTGAACGCTTGCAGTACCACTGAAGGCCAGTAGGGGCTGGTACATAATAAACATCCTTCAGATTCATTCAAAAGTCATATTAAAATTGACATTTTTCTTAAAATGATTTTGTCATCACTACCTTTGTTCAGTCCTATTGTCACTCTGACTGAAACAAACTCTGAAATAAATCGATTTTATATAAAGACATTAGAGCTCAGAGAAGCAACGTGAGGCAATGAGTGTGATTTTTCATTGACTTGCAAATACTGACATGTGAATCTAGTAAAGAAAACTTTCTCTGGAGACCCGCACTTCGGGAACCAAAGTGCAGGGCGGGTCCCCTTTAGGGTCATAGAGTTGCTGCACAGGGACCAAAGCGAGGCAAATAAACTTCAATATGAGTAAATTCCTAAATTTGCCAAAGTGGGAAAATTGCATCTATTGGTGGTTTTATTTCTTTTGTACAAGTAAAAAAAGCAGTTAGGTGTTAGTTGAATTTTAATGGAGATTTTCTTTAAATGTGTTGACGTGCAGGGGGTTGAGGGTATTTAAATGTGTTGACGTGCAGGGGGTTGTCTACAAAGTACAGGCCTGTCTACAAAAGGTGGGGAAGCAGTCTGCTCTAGAGGTTCAGTCCTGGTTTTCTACCATCAGAACAGAGTGACTACAGGTTCAGATCTGAAGCATACATTTTCTGCTTGTGTTCAGTTTTTTTTTTAACAAGCTGATAAATAAATCACATGGAGAAATAAACAGTGAGCTCATTAAAGAGGATTTCCAGCAGATCCATGAGCCCAGGACTGTGGCTGTCTTTCATCCCTGTGTTTAAACCTGCTGAGTTTCTACAAGGTGGATTATGCCTGCTGGCAAGTCTCAAGCTTTCACAGGGTGTAGCAAGGGCGTAGTGAGCTCCCTCCCTAGATCCCTTCCCCCTCCTCTTCGTCCTCCTCCTCCTCCTCCTCCTCACAACACACGCTCACACCCAAACGCGCAGAATGAAGCTAATCACAGTGGCTCTTGTGGAAAATGTTTTAGTGCTACTCACATCTCTGAATCTGTTCCAGGATCTGTCCTTGTTGAACTGAGCCACGGTGCTCAGCCATTTGTCGTTGCTGTTACCGGAGACCGTCGTTTCTCCGCTCAGCAAGAGAGCCACGACAGGTAACAGGAGAAAGCGCATCTTCTGGAAGCCAGAGGCAGAGGCAGGGGGAGAGAGAAGAGTGAGGGAAGGAGGCAGTCAGTGGTGAACATGGATATTGCTGCTGCTGCTGCTGCTGTTGCTGCTGGTGCAAAGTGCACGAGAGGCAGAATAAAGTGAGGTCGAGGACTTAAACAGCCGCACAACTCTCAGACTGTGAGTGTCAGGATGTAAACAAACACTGAAAAAAAGAAGGAATCAATTTTTATGTCCTCCCATTCAATCCAAAGGATTTTTTTTTCTAATCCGATTATAAACATTGGAGAGTTGTGGCAGATGCGGAGCAACCACAAACCGACCTGCCTCAGTTGCTTCACAGTCGGCCAATTTAAGGAGCAATTAACAGCGTCAGCACGATTTCCATTCTTTCTGATCTTCGTCTTTTCAGTCAGTCACTCCATCTCCAACACCAGCAGCAGCAGCAGCAAAGTGGAGGAATGGACTTTATTTTTGTTTATATGTTAAAAAAAAAGAAGAAGAAAGAAATGGACAGCGTCCGAAACAGTGTCCATCCTTACCTGCTTAGTAGAGTCCTCGTTGACCAAAAGAGAATCCGGGGGGAAATAAACCCACGGCCCCGGGCACTGTGGTTGCACCCGACTGCTTACAAGAACTGACGATGAAACAGAGCAGTGAGGACGAACGGACCAGGAGCTTTCTCCTCCCCCACCTCCTCCTTCTCCTCTCTCACCAGACACATGTTTCCTCTCTCTCTCTCTCTCTCTCCCTCTCTTCCTCTCTCTTCCTCCCTCGCTCTCTCTGGAAACCCACAAACCGTGTCATTGATTTTCAGCAGGGGGATTTTATTTTGCATGTTCGCACCAATGCGCAGACAGGATTTGGATTGGAAAGCTGTGTCAAAAAAAGGAGTCTGTTCAGGATGTACGACACAGATTTTATTTGAGTCATGGCACCTCTGAGGTGCAACTCAAACTTGTGTGTTGCTGACTATCTTACTTGCACACAGCAGTGATTTAAAAAAAAAAAAACAACCGCTGCTCTAATGTCTGTGGTATGCAGCGTGTTTTCAGCACCACGGACAGAGACACAAAACTAACCGCTTTTTAACACTATTTTAAATGGGCCACATAACTAGGACGCATGTTTTGAGGGGCCGGGGCGTGTGGATGAATATTTAATCTGTGGCTTTCCTAGCTGTTGTTGTCTTTGGTCTTTGAGTGATGCCCGCCTGAATGAGGCCTCGGTTCTAGCCTGGAACAAGAACAACAGGGACTGTGTGATGCAGCTTCTTAATAACCACACTCTGTCATAACAGGCGTTTCTGTTCAAATATTCAGCTTTTTTTTCTTTTACTTTACTGCTTACTGTGTGAAAAGAGTTTGAACAGGTTTAAAGAGATTCAGCGCAGCTTCTCTGGTGTTTGCACTCTGCAGCACATTTAAGCAGTGTTTGCTGCTGTTGTGCCACTTTTTAAAGCCCACTTTCAGAAATGTAGATTAAATGGGTAATTTAGTAATGCAGCTTTCCCCCTCTGCAGAGATGTGAAAAGACCAGGACCAAGAAAAGATTGTATGTTTTTTTTTTCTTTGAACATAAGTTCATTTTTCTTTTGCATTTTCAGAACATTTTTGAAGTGTCATGTTCACATCCTTTGTTGTTCCATTCTTTGTGTCTTTCATGGGTGTCTTTCTTCAATTCCTGTGAGTACATCAACATGGTGTTTACCATTTAACAGTTACTCAATTGAAAAATTGAAACAAGATCATTGTGTTTCTTCACATTTACCTTTTGACTTTGTATGCTAGTGCCTTGTGGGATTCTTTATTTAAAACATGTGCCTTAAAAAAACCCATGTCAATAAACTGTGCATGCTTTTCATGTGCCGCAGCTTCAGGCACTTGTTAGACAATCTGCTCTCTCTGTTATATGTTGTTATAATTAGCAGTCAGTCCTCACCCTCTGTCAGCTCCTCCATTCACACTTTTATAGAAACAGACCCAGATCCAAGGACATTGCTGGAAAACGCATGTTCTTTGTTTTTACTGTATCTGTTCTTGTACAGATAACTTAACTACTGAAGAGTAATATGAAGTTTAAATAAATGGAGCAGGTGGCACCAAATGTATATGTAATGTGGCTTAATGAACCCAAATTGTTTCTGGTTTCTGAATGAAGAGTCAGCGTCCAGTTTCTGTTTTCCTGAATTGTGGCTCTGCAAAGTGCTGACATAAACACAGCGCCATGGTCAAGACCAAAGAGATAAATACTCACTCTACCCATCCAGAGCTCATTGACAAAATCAGAGTCTTAGCTCAAGAAGACAAAGTACACTGTAGGTCCTGATTTTCTGCAGCGTCAGTCACTGAATAACGCCGTAGATAAACACCAAATTCACACAAAAAACAAAAACAAAAAACAAACAAACATATGATAATGGTGACTAACCCCATAATTCAAGTGTGAAGAAAAATAATTTATTTTAGAACCAGTCAATGTGAAGAAAAATGCTGACTCCAGGACATTAACAAACAGACACACAAGAACTAGACATTTTATTAAGTTGCAAATGTCTGGTTTCTCTTTCTCATAATGGATGTACAAGTCACCTGGAATTTGACCCTTAGTAAAATGAACAATGCCTTTAAAAATGTCTAGTGACGGGGTTTGATTCCAGACTTGGTAGATTATATACCACCAATAAATTGATAGAAAAAAAAAAGTGTCCTTCACAGAGATATACATTCTTTATCAGACGTTAGTTGAACTTGTTTTTTTTTTACTTTTTAATTTACGCACAGCTAAAACCTATTTTTCTCGCCACTATTGTCCCATTACAGCATCAGTATGACAGCTAAACACTCCGTTACTCTGTGAGTTCAAGGGGTCCAACTCCGTCCCACTCCTCTCGGTTCTGCTCCTGATTTACTTGCCCTCCTCCTCTCTGTCTTCATATCCCAGCAGCTGCCAGGAAGGCTCTGCAAGATGAAGGATAACAGCATCTGCTGGGGTGCTAATGCTGAACAGTGGAAAGAAAAACATATGAACAAAGCAAAGGCCAGCAGTGTCTCAGCAGTAAATTTATATTCAAGCACCACCACTCCAAACCCTCTCCCCCAACACCCTCATTCTGAATTTGGAAGTAGTAAAAGGAGAGAAAGAGAAGAATGGGATTCAAGAATGAAGAAAAATGAAAGTTACGTGTGTAAATTTACTGGAGGACGCTGAGAAGCTGAGGACAAAGGAGAAAAAAGATTTGAAGTGAGCAGCGTGTAATGGATTGTTGTATCTTAAACTAAACTCCAGCCAAACAATTTCACTTCCACTTGAGTGGCTCTCTCACGCTTTCTGGTTTTTCTGAGAGCAGATCACTGGGAATTCACACAAATATCCACATGGTGCTAAATGTTGGGAAATAAATCATTTCTATCACAACAACAACTTGCTTTTCTGAGTGTTCTTGGGGGCATTAGTTAATCCAGTCAAACATCTGAGGCTCCACACAGGACGGAAATAGAACAGTACCAGAGCATGAAACCCAGCAGCAAATGGGATGAAGTTTAAAAACATCTCCGAGTCCTGACAGATGGTTCCATACGTAAATCAGTTTATCATCGAGTTAAGACGTGGCAGATAAACACAGGCGAGCAGAATGTTCTGTAATTTGGAAGTTTGAAGTGAACAGTTGTATTCTCCTATAGCAGCCCGCTGTTAAAGGAGCAACAAGAAGAAGAAAATGACTGCAATGCAGCAAAGACTAGACTTTGGCCAGTATTCATATGTTAAAGTACTGGAGGTCCTGGGGTTTGATGTTCTTGATTTATGGAGTTTTGCGGTTACATTGCCATTTCCCATGAATTTAATAAGCAAGTCTTGATAGATCATTCCGATGTATGGTTTCAAAATGACAACAGGAACTAGTTAGGGAGCGTAGCGGGGGGAGGGGGGGGGGTTGCGGTGTCACGGTGAAGACGGCTTTGCTTTCAAATTCATCACTTTTACCCCAAACATTGGTTTGTGCATCATTCCAATGTTTATTTTGTGGGGTTTTATTAGGAACTGCCTCCCAGGTGTAAGTCGGGCTTTTCCGTCCTGTAATTACACCAAAACCTTATCCACTCCATAAGTGTTTTGTGGAATAACTTCTGCCAAGCAGTTGCTAATGTTGGAAGGTGGTGTTCTCTTTAATCAGCTCCTTTAAACTGTCTGAAGCACAGGTGGATAAGAGGGATGGAAAAGAACAGTGGTGGAACACACGCTTGGCTCCAACAGCTTTCCAGGTTGATAAGGTGTGGGGTCTTCTCTACCAACAGTGACAAGGAGGAAGTGGTGTAAATGACCACAGTGGTGGGCCCACAGCTGCCTCAGAGTGGGAGGAAACAGATTACCCTTATCAAGGGTTTCCTCGGAGTAAAGTCACAGCCGTGAAAGCTAATTACACTCTGGATCTGCTGTGGATATCCACCATAAAACCCACTGATCCTTTACATTTCATTTCCCCCGAACCTTTATTCTTCCCAAATAATACGTGTGTACAAATTAATTTTTTGCTGAAATGGTTTGTGTTTAATCATATTATCTGTTTGGAGTGATCGTGAGTAGAAAATGTGTTTCTTTTCAAGACCTCGACAGGCAGTTATTATGGATTTAGTCATTGTGCTGCCCATAAAAACTAAAGAAAGATGATGATTGGAGGAAGTTTCCCTCGGTGTGACATGTCCACTTATTACCTCTGCACAGTGTTGGCTCATTACGATCAATAAATGTTTGAAAACTGCTCTCCGATCTGCTTTTGAACAGTCCCGTGTTTGTGGACACTGTGAGGTGACGTCCCTCGGCAACCTCGGTCTGGGAATCAGCCCCGAACAAACGAGTTGTTCCTGATAATGATAGCAGATGACGAGGTTGGACTGCCCATTAAAAAGACTATTGTTCTCTGTCCTTCAATCAATCTCCCTCTGCTGTACGTTGCCTTGGTTTTAGTTCAGGCAGTTCAAAATAATCACAGTCGACCACTGTCAGTCTCAGAGTGGGAATCTTGACATGTCTGATCAAAAATGTATTAACGTTTCACAAGGAGACATTTAACATTCATCTGGCAGCTTCCTGAGGTTCAAGTGCAGCCTCACACACATCCATCACTTTGAGCAGACAAGTGAAATAACAGAAAAGAACTGGCACATGTATCCGCAAAACTATACATCAGAAATAATTGGCTCGTGCTGGCAACATTTGTCAGCATGTAGTTGCTCAGTCCCGCTGACGTGCTGTGGAAGTTTGTCTCCGTACGACTTTGGTGACTGTTTATGTTTAGAAAAGTTAAGGAGTTTTGATTTATTACAGGACGTCACAGGCGGCATGGAATGCTTTGTTTACTTCACCGCCCGTCTGGAGTTCAGTCTCGTAGACAGTTTTGGTAAATGAGTGTGTGGTTTAGGTTTTATACTAGACATTTTACTATTTCAATGACCTTCAAACGTGGGAATAATGAAATTACCATAATATTAGAAAGTACAGCTGTGACTTCTAGGTTCATTTTACAAACTGTGTGCTCCAAATATAAAATCATATCTATTATCTTCAAACCAAGATCCAGCCATATGTTTCCTAATAAAGGAATAAATATTACTACATCACTGTGTCAGCATAACACGTTTTTTTTGTTTGATTTTGGTTATTATGGTATTCCATTTTAGCTCTATAGCTCCGTCTTTGACAGTATTTCCCATCTTTTTTGCTGCTGTTGTGTTCATGAATCCCCCTCTCTCTCCCTCTCTCTCCCCCTCCATCCCCCTATAGCCATAACTCGCTGTTCTTCTCCCCTTTTTGACTCTTCTTAAATCCTACTGCCTTGTATTTCAACTGCTTCCACATAACTCGCTGCATCCTTTGCATCATGGCCCAGGACGAGTCTCAAAGCATCCCTCTCTCTCCCCCTCTCTCTCTGTCTCTCTCTCTCTCTGTGTGTGTGTGTGTGTGTCTCACTCACTTTTTCTCTCTGTTTGAACCCAATTGTTTTGGACAGATACAACTTAGGTGTTCGTACCTGAGGTCGTTTTGTTGGGCAATGATTCAGAAACCTACATCCACGCACTAAAATGCACAAGGATAGAAGGATGGATAAACCAGAATGAGAGAGTGAAAGAGAGAGAGAGAGAGACACACACAGAAACTGTCCATTTCGGACCTCAGTAGTGGCTGGGAGGTTTGTTCAATATGTTACGAATACAATTTTTTTTTTAATTTATGAAAGTCTTTGGTGAAGTACTGGAAGCACCACTACAGTGAGGCTGGCCAGGTCTGGGTAAAAACAAACACTGTGGAGTCATGATTAAAAGTGTTTACTCAGACTCCATCGATAAACTGCATGCCAGCTGTTCAGGACAAATGTGCCATTTAAAGCTTAAAAAAAAAAGAATGTTTAACAAACACTGCCTCTTACAACATATTTTTGGTAGAAAATCAATCACAGTCTTTAAGTTTCTGTGTAAAGGCAGACTAATGTCAAAGTCACTGATGGGAAGTCAGCCTTTTCATACAGATGTGGTTCGGCTGTTACAGCACCAAGGACAGCGCACAGTCTGTTTGACAAGTGTATGAAAATCCAACTACCCTCGCTCTGCCCTTCAGGCTCGCATTCTGAAAGCAGCAAAACTGACTGACTAAACACTGGGCTGGTCTTTACTTTTACCCCGACGGTCAGAGGTAGTTGATCACATCTACTGCCACTCTCTATTGCTTTACTTACTTTATACTCATTTTCATCTGTTTTGACCAGATCTAACAACAAAACAGATGTTTCTCTCCAAGGTGCTGATTGTTTTCCCTCCTCTGTGTAGAAATAACTCTATATATTCACCCAAGAACACACCTCTGTGTGTGTGAAATCTAATCCACACTTACTGTTACACCAGTATCTGTCTGTGAAGATGCCTCACACTTCAGAAAAAGAGGAATAGAATCACCCGAAGAGAAAAGTAAACATGGAAAAAAAAAAAAAAAAAGCGGTATGGAAAAAATGTGAGAAAACAAATATTGCAGGCAGGAATGACCAGAAAAACCGAACTGTCAATATAAATGTGATGTTTGAAGTCAACATTAAACAATGTGTTTGAAAAGTACAGTATGTTTCAAAGCAAAATGTTATACGAGACAACATCCATTCACCACGTGATCTTCTCCGTGAGCAAAAAAGAGTAAAAGAACGAAATCTTCCACAAACCAACACTGTGTTTACAACACAAATAAAACCAAGGCTTTGCCATCCTCTTGAAATTCTCTTAATAAAATGAAAACATAAAATTGTAGTAAAAAGCACTGGGACAAACTAAAGCAACCCACTTATTTCCACAGCAGCTTTATTTTAGCAATAATTTGAACAGGACTGAAAAAATAAGTGATAATCTTATCATTTATTTTCCAGCGTTTCTGGTTAGATTGGTTCTAAATCTGAAATGACAAGTGCTGTCTATGAAAAAACAACGGTAACATCGTGCAGGACCAAAACAAATTCAGCTGCAGTACAGTACCAACAACAGGGCTGCAGATGACTACAGCATCATTGAGACAAATGTTTGTCTAAATGTCCTGCTAATGTTGGACGTTTGGTTGAAAAGAATGAATGGAAGCTGCTAAATGCAGGATTTAAATGGAGATATTGATTAAGGTGCTGCTGGCCATGGCTTCAGGGTCACAGGCAGGAGGAGAAAATGCAAAGTGATCCCATTAAAACCTCCAGTAAATGTGTGTTGCTGGTGCTGCTGAGAAAGTCGTGGTCACACTTGAATGGAATAAACGGTGAGTGGTTTTATTGGTTGGCACTGAACAAATCAGCATTAAGAGATTGTTGGATCTGGACAAAAGCTGTTTTAGTTTTCTCAGTCATTTCTTTGAACTGTGATGCGACACAAAGAGCACAACATCCCTGTTAAAGCACATTTTGTGTGTGCATAAGTGTATGACGAGTGTATTATTTTCTGTGTGCGCACTCACCAGAAGCAGCTCAGAAGAGACTATTGATTTGAGCCGCGAGCCAAACATCAAACACTGGATTAGGTTTAACTCAAATCAATGTAGAATGGAAACAAAAAAAGAAAGGAAAAAAAAAAAAAACACATCACAGTAGCCGTTGATCCTCCAAAGACCTGCAAACAAACCTGAAGAGACAGACGCAGGAATAATGATGTACATTATTATGGTATAGTAACGGTATGCATCTAAAATAAAGTGTTCATATCAACATTAAAGAGGTAAACAACTACTTTTTAATTATGGTATAGTAACGGTATGCATCTATAATAAAGTGTTCATATCAACATTCATTAAAGAGGTAAACAACTACTTTTTGCATGTGAATTCTTAGGTGCAATTCCCAGCATCTCAATTCAATTTGACAGACTTTTGCCTAGTGCAGGGATTCCCAAAGTCTGGTGCGTGGACCCCATAGGGAGGGCAAGATAAAAAATTTGATTTTTTTTTTAAAGTGGGAATTTTCCACACAACTAAGACTGGTAAATAAACATTTCTTATATTAATTTTGAAATGAAAAGCTTTTACTTTTAATTAACAACAAATGCAGCCTATATATATGTGTGTGTTAAATGTATGGTTTTTTTTTTTTGGTTTTTTTTTTTTGTTTGTTTTCCAAAGGTGTGGGAATTGGGGGTAGGCATTTAGTTTTTTTTGTTTTCCAAAGGTGTGGGAACTGGGGGTAGGCATTTGACATTTCTTCCCACACCAGGAATTCAACCCTGGGTAAAAACTTAAACAGGAATCCTAACCGCTGAACCATATGGTTTAGAAATCTTATTGGTACAGATGAAAATAATTTAAAATAAATTAAGAAAATACTTTTAATATGATGGTGTTTGTATTAACTTAAAAATAATTGTTAAACAAATCTATCTATCTGTATAGTTTATCTACCTGTTAATACTAACTACTACTACTATTTAGTAAATTAATTATGATTCATTCATTTGGTTTTTATTTGTGACTATGATGTTACATTTAAAAATCAATTAGGGCTACCATCATGGCAGAAAAAAATAACATTTGTGTATAAAAACTAATAAAACAATGTACATTATTTATCACAACAGCAGTGAGGCAACAGTACAGTTACTGGTCCAGTAACAGTACCGTTACTGGTCCAGAATATTAGGGACAGGCGGAAACTGTCAGAGTTGAAGGAGAGACATCCACAGCAGCTGTAGTTCTGTCGTAGTGAACTACCTCAGAGCGAACAAACGGGAAACTGCGTAAAACTTTATTTTAGAGACTGTAAAAAAGGCTCACAGTCTGTTTTCAATACCAAGTGTTTTTCCCGAGGACACGCGGTGAACGGCCGCAGCTGTGACGGCGTTAACTTTGATAGCTGGAGCTGCTGTTTGTGTTTGCCACGTGCGCAGGATGTTTACTGCCAGAAGCACAAACACGGGGTGGACTCTCGTCACAACATTGACATGTTTACGTCATCTTCGAATGGTGAGTTTAAAAACAAACAAACGCAGTTGTTACGCTGTTTTCTGTTTTATTGTGTTTTGTCGAGGAACATGCGCGTTTGACTGCTGCTAAAAGATGCTCTCTGTTATTTTTGCCATACATGTCCATGGTTTTCATTTATGGCCAATGCACTCTTAATGTCGTCTTATGTTGTGGTCAGGGGCGCTGCTAGGGATTTTGGGGCCCATGGAAAGAACCTCAAAATATTTAAAGTAAAACTATGAATTTTGGTATGTTTTGGTATGTTTTGGTATTTTTGTGTCATGTTAAGTTGTGTCAAAATTATAATTTTATTGGGAATGCCTCTGGGCCTTTGAATTCTTCTCGTTTCCCGCCTATTGGCGCCACAGGTTGTAATTGTGTAATCTAGCTGTAGTATTGTAGTGTCTGTTGCAGTATTACTATTAGTAATATACGTATGTTAAGGCCTTGGGACTTTATTTGAGACTTTTATTCTCCCTGTGTTGGAGTTTTCTATCAAGCATCGCATTACCTTGCCACCCCACTAGGAGGCGATATTTGCTGTCTCCATAACAGTTGTTGACTATTGCGACAAGATATGATTCTTCACAGTGTAAAGTTGTCATGATTTAGTATTTTGATATTGTGATAGCTGTTGTGTTCCTCGCCGAGCTGTCTTTGATTATGGATGCAGTCATTTGAAAACAGTTAAGACGCGATTAATTTGCAAGAATGTGTGAAATAGTGTACGTTTCTGTTTCTCACCAACGCCTAAACTGAGATAAAGTCTATATGAATTAGCAATAAAGTGAAAACATTTAAAAAAAGTAGTCTCACACTCTCCTAAAACCAAACGTGAAAAAAAAAATGTTTTTAACAAACTCAAAGAGAATTAGTCAGGCAGCATGAAGTTGTCGAAACACTTTCTGCTGCCGCTCCACGCTCACTCAATAACTCAGTCGAAAATAGAAGCTCACTTAGTTACTGGCAAATTTGTCTTTTGTCTGTGTTGTCCTTGACACCAGTCTGGGACGTGAATGAAATAATTAAAAACACACACACACACACAGCACAAAAAAAGTCTAAATGACAGGTTTTCATTTGTTCTAAACTCAAATCAACTTCATCTTTAGTTGTGAAACATGTGCTCAAACATGAGATTTAGGAAGAATTAGAAGTTGTTTCAGGCTGGAAGCTGGATCCTCTTATGCTACATTAGTGTGTTAACACACCAGTGGTGTTCAGGAGGAGTGGACCTCCTCTGGTTGAAAGCCTCTCAGGAGTCAAAGCTGTTACAGCTGTCAACGCCTGTGGACTGTGAAATAAAAAAGAAGTGACAGTGAAAGTTTACCAAGGAATCATAGTCACTTTTTTGTTTAAATTTAGGTTTGATATGGAGAAGTAGAGCGACATGAAAACAGTATTTTAGAATTTTAGTAAGTTGTTATTATTTAATGATCTGATAAGATACAGCATGCATTCTGGTACATCACAGAATACCTGGGTAACTGTTATCAACATAGAAAATACTCCCTTCCTACTGCACTTGACTTTCTCTCCTACCTTTTACCCAATCGAAACACAATCCATTTTCTGCATACCTTTTTTTAGACCGTGCTTTTCTACCAAAGCCTCCCCATCCATCTGCTGAAATTTCATTTTCATGACAAACACTGAGACAAAGTCACTCCATCACTGCTCCCCGTGGCTGCCTGGGAACCAGAGGGTGGAGGGTGGTTAGAATGGAGAAGGGGAAAAAAAACGTTAAGCCATTAAAAACCCAGACAAATGACAGGCACAGAGCAGGAAAAGGACATTTTCAGTAAATTGAATGATTATTCTAATTGTTTAATGAAGAAAGGTATTAAAATCACCATTGAGCACACAACGCAGCCCTCAAATGACCCAGAGTACTGTTGTAATATTACAGTATAATGGTGAAAAACATGAAACATTATCATTGGTGTTCCATAAAAGGACACGTGTGCACAGCAACTCCAATTTTAAGAAATCATTAGTTACGTGTGCACAGCAACTCCAATTTTAAGGAATCATTAGTTTTTTGTTTTGTTTTGTTTTTTGAGAATTTAAACGTGTCCCGTTAGCCCATAGATTAGCTTTAGAGAAAAAAAAAATCAAAGTTGTTCTAATTTTTTGAACTTTCATCATCGCTCTAAGGACAACGTATTTAAAAACACACCTACGTTCAATTGCTTCAAAATGTGCAGTAATTTAGTGGTGCTTCTGTTGGATGGTGTGTGGGTTGAGCTGAGAAATAATTCTGGGGGATGGAAATCCAATTACTAAGTCCTTCAAAGAAAAATAATGAAAATTCAAATGGGTTATGTAAATTTTGTCTGCTAAGTGGCTGAGGACAGTGTAGGATTGTATATATATATATATATGTACACACACATGCACACGCAGCAGCCATTTATTTTGCCACTGCAGCTCTTTCATATTCCTTATTCTAATCTAAATTCATCATTTCCTCCCTGTCACCTCACTGATAGCGTTGCTAATGTTGCTTAATGAAATTTGTTGACAAAGGCAAAGCGTTCTGTCCTGTTCTCGACATATTGAATTAGCTGTCAGGGAACTATGGAGGAGTAGGAGGAGGAGGAGGAGGACGGAGGGAAAACCCAGGAGATGGACAACCTCCTCCACTCACTGTGACTGTCAGAAATCTTTTCGGAATCTTCTCTCTGCTTTCCATCATTCCCTGACCTCCCCCGTCTACATCCCCACGCTCATCATACCTAATATGTTTTTGATAAATACACTGCTCACTCACTTAATGTGCCATGAAAATAGAAAAGTAAGAAGGGAGGAGAGGTGGGCGTTGGTTTATACACAGTAAAACTAAGAGAAGGACAGAATAAAAAAAAGGTAGAGACGAGGGGGTGAAGGTTGGGGAGGGGAGGTTAAAGACATGAGAAAGATGAGTGGATTGGAAGGAGTGGGTGGGGGCGGCTTTGTTTGGTTTGTTTTGTTGCAAGTTAAATAAAAAGGCGCATGGAAATGGTTATGAATTATATTATAAATATATATACAGAAAGTCTGAATATGTGTACAAAAAGTCTAAATATATATTCAAGTCAATCCTTATGTCAGTCCACCTGCTCTGAACCTTGTGGTCAGTATGACCTGTGGGATTTTTTTTTTTTTTAATGTCTTTCTTTATACAAACGGTTAAACATACACTACCATTATGGCATTTTTAGTCTCTAAAGCTGCTGGGTGTAAAACCTGTCAAAATACATTTTCACAAATTTATGGCGAGAACTGAAAAATTCAGACGTGTCTTAATTGTCTGAGTCATGCAGTGACTCACTCATTTTCAGACGCTTTTTCGAGTGAACATTATGTTTTCAAGCAAATGTTTTGGGAGGGAAATATATCATAACTTGTCAGGTCAAAAGTGTACAAAAAGCACTGCAGAAATAAAATAATAATAATAAAAAATGAACAGCTGCCAGTGTAAACAGCTCATTTACAGGATGTCAAGCTGGTGACATAATTAGCTCAGGCAACCTCTCAAAATATCATTGAATGAAAGTGAAGAAACAGATTCATAGAAAATATGTTCGTAAAATAGATGTCGGAAAATGTTTTCAAGAAAAGTTGGTGGTCTGCTGCAGTATGAAGACCCTCGTCGGGGTAGTATTCAGGTCTGATACCACCCGGGTTCTGTTGTGTCAAAAAGGCCATTAAATGTAAAAATCAATGTGCAGACTCCTACAGTAGCGACCCCTGCTGGAGAGACAAGCCAAAGGTGTTTCTGAAAACTTGCTTTTTTCAAATTAGTGGTGACTTGGCCACAAAGATTGGCATCACTCCAACACAATTAAAAAAAAAGAATAGAAAAAAAATAATAAAGTGATGAAACGCAGTAAACAGTAAAATGTAGCCTTAAATAAAAGCAAATTATTATCCAGTGACTGAATAAATACACTGCCTGAGATGCGTAATTAGATAATTTACTAGCTATAGTAGGTTAGCTATTTTTGTTGTTTTATATATATAGCTGTACATTGTCTTCAGCCATCTTTACTGCCACGCTAATGCTTTTACAGGAAACAGGAAGCTTTACATTTTCACTGTGTTCACAACAAACAGGAAAAGTTAGTGAAGAGTTGCTGTCACAGCCAGGTATTCAGACTCTTACAGCTAATTGAAAACAACATTACATTCTTGATAACAAAATACTTTTGTTTTGCTAAACTACACAGATATCAATGGTTATAAAGTCCAGATGAGGTTCAGCTATGTGTGTGCCAGGTCGTCCACCCTGGGATCCATTTGCCATTTAAATCAGGCTGTTGACGGCCAGTCCTGCTCGGGGGGGAGTTTAGTTTTCTTGTGTCCTTCTGTTGTAAACCAGTATCGAGCTGCTGCCCTAAATTATTGATGTAATAATAAAGGAAAAAAAAATTAAAAGAATGACAGCCCTAGTCTGACCACCACTGTAATGATAGCAAAGATGAGTGTCTTTATAAAATGCAAATGTTGAAAACAGTTGATAGGGGAATTTTAATTTCACATCATCCACTTCAATCCTCAGGGTAAGAACATTAATATTTTTATTAAACCAATAGTTCTTTATTTTTCTCTTCATAACAAATTTATTCTGTCTCACACCCACAGAGAGGTGAGCAGAACAATATCAGAAAAGCATAAAAAAAAACAAAGAAATAACAAAGACATGTCAAATTATGAGCAAAGAAATAATTATTCACTGTTGCACCACAGGTAGGAGTCGAAAGAGACTTTGAATTGGAAGCAGTGGTTTCACTTTGAACAATGTGACATTATGTTTGATTAATCACTAACAGGTACACAAAGCAGAAGACAAAAATACATATGAACCTGAAGGGCTCACAAAAGGCAGGAAACCGCAGACAAAACAGTGAGGAAACAAAAGACAGATGCCAAGGTGGAGATGAAGCAAAGACAGGAAGTGAACTCACAAAAAAAGAAAAAAAGAATGAATTTGTCATACATACTGTAATATACAGGAC